TCATCTGTCATACAGTTCCTCTTCTCTAGAAACCCTCCCTCTTCTTACCAAGTCATCTGTTACTCCTTTGTGACTTATCTTCCCTCTGATGTCACCCCAAGCCTACTTGCTTTCTGCCGTCATCTTCCATCTCTCTCATCACCCATATGTTTGCTTCTAACTTTTCTTGAGGACCTTGTTTTCTTGATTAAACAGCCGGAGCCTCCCCCAAGTGGAACAGGTGGTGGTGCTAAGTCATGAGCCCCCTTGACCTCCCCCTTGTTTGAAGATGTTGATATGTCCTTGGAAGAGATGGAGAATTTTATAGTTGATGTCTAAGGATACTTAAAGTTGGCTTCTGGGTTTTGCTTTGAGATCAGGGCACAGCTTATACTACTGTCAACTAAAAAATAAAGTAAATTGACCTGGAAGTAGGAAGACATAGCATTTTGGGGGGGAAATAAAGAATTGCAATTCTGCTACACTGAAACAAGGCAGCTCTACATAGTGTCCTCTAAGGCAACTGTAACCCAGATTTTTCATAAGAGATTTCCACAAAAAGGTGTTTTCAGAGGCAATTTATGGCTGGGCAGAAATACTGAATTATGAATCCATTCTGATTTGTTAGTTAATTATGGTATTCCAAAGTGAGAAAAGTTGAAGGCCAGAGCATACTGCCTTCAGTTGTTTAATCCAGGTCGATTGGAGTATTCCTTTAGCAAGTGTGAGTGCAGTCCTCTGCAGTTTCCCCACCCTGCCCTAGAAAGCTGTGGTCTTGGTGATATTTCTTTCTAATCCTCACAGCTAAGAGAATTATAGGCACACTCAACTATTTGGTGTCTGACAGGCTGATTCTCCTAAAGAACCATTATGTTCTCTGATCCCTGTCATAGAAGAGCCGTGGCTCTCCATCTTGCAGGAGAATTTAGTAGGATGTGTACATGGTTTGGGGATTCAGGAATACAAATCCCAGATGCACCACACTGTCTGACCAACGTCAACCATAAGTAGTGTTTCACTGAATCACAGTGTGTCCTTTGAGAACAAATTAGGTCAGAGCAAATGCAAGAATCTTCAAAATTTAAGGCTGAAATTTAAAGGAGAAATAAATTGAGGGGAAAGATCTGTTGCAGGAAGAAAAAAAAACAAGAAAAGAAAAATGTCATTCCTAAGGTCCAAATAATAAATTCTTTTTCTGAAAAATTCATTTCCCCTCCACACAGTTTTTTTAATGGGACAGAGAGGATTCATGGAGCCCATGAGTCTAAGACAGAGTGGGTATGGCTTGGTTTAGATACAGTCTGAAGATGTCCCCCTAAGTTTCATGTGCAGGGAGCTTGGGCTCTAGTATGGCAGCATTGAGATGGTGAGATCTTTAAGAGATGAGTGTGCAGTGATTGGATCACGGTGACAGCAGCCTCAGAAGGAATTAATGCTGATCTCTCAGTTCTTGGAATCAGTTCTCAAAAGAGTGGGTTGTTATAAAGCAAGGTAACCCTACACACTGGTTTCTTTCTGCATGTAATCTTTTCTCTTTCTATTTCCCTACCACATCATAATGTACCCAGAAAGGCTTTCACTATAGGCCAAACAGATAGGGCTACCCAATCTTGGACTTTAAGCCTTCAAAACTATGAACTGAATATACCTCTTTTCTTTATAGTACCCAGTATCAGGTATTCTATTATAGGGACACAAAATGGATAAGACAAGGGGTCATCTTCATTAACTGAATACTCTGTTCTTTGTATTCAATCTTGAAACAGTTTCATTACACTGGGCACATCTAATTTCTGCTAGTTTGTTGTACTTTGAAATCATTTACTTTGCCTTCTCTTTTGCTGAATTTCAGGTACATATACTTAATCTTATTGTGGCCTGTCCTTTTTTACACCAATTTGGCTTAATGCTGAAAGAACTTTCAACTTCAAAGAATGTTTCTGCCCTTCCCCATCCCCCTGCCCCTGACAGTTGGAAGGTGGGGTGGGATGGTGTCAGGGAAGCAGGAGAGGAAATCAGTTAATTGCAGGCTGTCAGAGTTGTTTTAGGTGACTTTGTACTTCTTGAATTTAAGATCAACGTGAACTATAGACATTTCAAGCTGGGAATTTAAATAGCAACAAAAAAGCCTGGGTTTTGCTAATGCCAGGAATGACTCATCTGGTGAGAATGGTATTGAATTGATAATACAATACAGAGAGAGGAAAAGACTGTGGTATCTGCTCTCTTTGTGTTTCTGACCTTGAGGAGAATTATAACTTGTTTGTTGCAGAAGTTGAGCATCTAATGTGCTGTTGCACCTGTTAGTTCTTATGTACTAAATGGCAAAGCACTTACAGATCCCTGTGATTGCTTTGTGGGTGAAATATTTTCTACAATCTGGTGAACTGGGTTTTTAAAATATAATGTATTCAATTGTGTTTCTTGCATCCCTTATTTCTCAAAAGTATGCTTTCTCATTCTATTTCAATACTGCAGCCTCATCATTACATCTTAGAATATGTTTCCCTTTGTATTTTTCAAGGTAACATTATGTTTTTGTTTTTTCTTTTTTATATAGAGACCATGAACCAGGCAACTCCTGCTAGGAAGCTGGAAGAGGTTCTTCATCTAGCAGAGCTCTGCATAGAAGTCTTACAGCAGAATGAAGAGCATCATGCGGAGGTGATGACTGGTTTAAAGCTATAAGGAAGGCTCTCTCATAGTGGCAGAAGTACTGAGAAAGTAGCCCACTGATACACAGCTAGCCATTCACCTTGAGAAAACTGAGAGCATATGTGAATTTCCCACAAATATAATTTCTATACATCATAAAGCATACATATACTATAGTTGTATATGTATACAATTTCATATCTATTTCTGAAAACAGTCTTAGAAGAACTTACAGAATCTGTCTCAGAATGCCTAAAAGAATATAATGAAACTGGATGGAAGAGTGACTCAGTAGGTTAAGGCAGAAGGATTGTGAGTTTGAGGCCAGCCTCAGCAACTTAATGAGAACTGTCTCAAAAGACTTTTTAAAAAAAAAAAAAACTCAGTGCCTCTGGGTTCCATCCCCCAGTATCACCAAAAAGAAAAATTATGAAGCAAAGCTGGAACACAATCCCATCTTGTGAGGCCAAATTGTTTGCTTTGACCCCATGCTGTGATCATTTTAGTTTAGAAGTGTAAGTTAATCAAAATTAAAAAGGATAATCTGTGATAAGTTTTAAGGGAAAATCAAATAGCAAACATTCATAATTATAGTTGATTATTCTCCTCTGATCATCAAACTTTAAATTTTCATTAAACTTCATTGTTTATGATTCTAAAGTTCTAATTCCATATTAATATTCATTACAGTTCTGGAGTGGTTTTTCTCCATGCAAACAGCTTATATTCTAAGCCTTTCTAATGATTGTGCATTTATTTACAAAAACAAAATTATTTCCTGACTTTTGCTTCTGGTGGGGGGAATGAATAGGACCTAATAAATGTAATAAACTTTAGTGCCCTAATAGTGCTTTATTCTGGAAGAAGCACAAGAATGAACAAGAGGGAAAAAGACCAGATATATATGAATCTACAGAATATTTATATCTAATGAAACCTAGTTCCAAAAATTCAAGAAACTACAGGATCTATATTTTAAGCAAATTCTTGGAAAAGAGGATTCATGAAAACTTACCATAGGTAACTAAGATTTATTGTATCTGGTTATAAATATGATCATTCAAAACATCTGCTTTTAGCTCACACTGTGGAATCTAGTTTTTAGCTTGCATCTGTCATGTGTGAACTTGTTATGGATATTTTATTTTAAACTGAAGAAACAGCTGCTTCAATAATTTGAAATGAATTCCCAGGAGGATCTTTTCTAAGCTAGTACCATTGCTATGTTACAATGAAAATGATTATGTGATAAAATATATGTATGTTTTGTCTTTGTCTTTTGTTAAAAGGCATTATCATCAGAGTACTAGGCCTTTCTAAATTAAAAAAAAAAATTCCAAATGCAGTATATATGTCAGCTAAACAGGTCCCTCAAATACCATTTATAGAAATTAAAAATTAAATGTTATTTAATATACTCCGTGCAATCACTGAGACTGCATGCTGCAGTATAACCTATCAAACACAATTAAAATGTTATTTATTTTTTAATCCAAAAAAATATAATTGACTTTATTGAAAGAAACAATTATAACATGATATCATCGTATTTAATGCTTAAATACAGAACTGTTGTTATGTCTCCTTTTTAAAATGCTTTGTAACGCTGGCATTTTTCTATTCCACTATGCTTCCAAATTCTTGGGATCCCTCAGGGAAGAGAGGTGAGTAAAATTGGTTCCACTGTTCTTCTAGCATGGTATAACTCTTTCATGTGAATTTAACAGAGGACCCACTCTGATGCTACTAATTTTAGCCAACTTATCCTTTCCTTAGAACTAAAAGCTGGTTTTTTTTTTTCCTTTAAACAGCCATAATCTAATTTTTGTTACATTCTTGGTAAATGGACCTTAGTCACAATCATGGGCATAATTACTGCTGACCATCTAAGTAAAGCACAACAAAACAGATTTTGATATTTTGGCTTGGGTTTGTGACATTGATTTCTGTCTTTTTTTTTTTTTTTCAATCCTTTAAACCAGATCTAACTTTTTCTCTGAGCACTACTGGAGAGTGAATTGGTGTAACCCCAGAGTCATTTCCAAAGTGAACTGGTGGACTGCACTCCACACTGAGCTAGTTTCTTTCCTCCATGAAAGAGCACCTGACTCCCCTCCCTTGGGGGAGGTTAACGTGTCTGCCTTTGAGGAGAACTTCAAGTGGCTGTGTGTCGCTCCATTCTTTTCATTCTCCTTCTCTGCACAGTGGCAGTTTACTTGACAGGGCTAAGAGGTTGTTTGTGTCCTTCAACAATTTCTCTGTTAAGCTGGCTTCCTGTCCTTCGGATCTTTGACAGTAACTTACTTAGAAGGCAGTTTTCCCTTCTCTCTGAAAGCCTCTCGACCTCTCCTCTCAGGTGTTTTCTTTAGAATTCTCATGTTTCCTTCTTAGTTGGTTTAAGCTCCTTTCCAGAAAATCTTCCAGACTGTCTCTACGTTTCAGTGACGAGACCGTGTCTGACCAGAAACTTCAGGCAAACTGATCTGACAGCTCTGCATCTAAAAGCCACTCACTCTGACAATGCTGGGGAGTCCCAGTGCCCACTAGGGAAGCTGTGGGCTCTCACCAGCCTGCCCCCTCCACACACATCATTTATCCAACAAGAAAATAGATCCAGAAAGGTTGAGCAACTTGCCAGGTATGCACAGGTGATTAGTAACTGGGAGAAACCCTAGGCCAGACTTTAGACACAGGTATTTTCAAATAAACCTCATTGTGCTTTTCCCATTTAAGTAGAATGGCTCGAGTGGTCATCCTGCCTGGTTCTGCTGACAGATTTGACACACAGCATCATAGCAGAGATGGAGCCATCCTCTTCCATTCTGTCATTTCTCCCTTGTTCTCTGGCAAATGTCAGGATTCTCGGAGTGTTGAGAGGTTAAGTAGTAGACAAGAAGAGGAACAAGATGAGTATGAACACAGCTCAAATTCCTGCTTTGGGTATTTATTGTTATAGCAAAATTTTGATTTAGGGATCCTAAAATATTTTAAATATAATGTCATCCACTATCTGAAAGCACCATAGTCAAGGTGGTTTGGGAGTAATTTGGTAGCTACAGTGTAGACTTCTCTCAGTTCTCTGCAGATGGGTAATTTTTTTTTTAAGGAATTTAATTTTTATTTTTTATTTATTTGTTTTTATGTGGTGTTAAGATTCAAACCCAGTGCCTCACCCATACTAGATAAGCACTCTACCACTGAGCTACAGCCCCAGCCTTGATTGATCCTATACTTCAACCTGCTCTGTCCCAAGCTGCTCTAGCAGCAGAGCTGGGACAGGGAGAAGACTTAAGCATGAGCACACATATTTGTGCTTATATACTCAAAAACAGACACATCTGTATTTGAACCAAATTTAGCTTCTGAATGAATTCAAACATAAAGAGAAAAGGTATTTTATTTTTTTCCCATTTGTTTTTGCTTATTTGTGTCCTTATTTCTCTCCGCTGGCATGCATGTCTAGGAAATATGTTCAAACTAACCATTATACAAAAGATTGGCCATGAATGAAATCTCCTTACTATCTACTTCTAATGAGAGGGTACACAGTAGAACTCCATTTGCAGGATTCTCCAAAGAAATTACAAGGGTATAATTTGCCCTATTAAAGGTGTTTGTTAAAAATTTAGTAATTATTATGTGTTTTTATTATTTATTTTATTTTTAACTGATACATAAGCATTAGATATATTTATTGTGTATCATGGGATAGCTCAATATATGAACACATTGTGTAATGTAAAATCAGGGTAAATACATCTATCTCCTGAAACGTTTGTCATTGCTTTGTGGTGAAAACATCCAAATTCTTTATTCTAGCTTCTTTGAAAAATGTTTACTACATTATCATTATGTATAGTCACCCTACTATGCAATAGCACACCAGAGCTCTTTTCTGTTATCTAACTATACCTTAGTGCCCATGGATCGACCTCTTGACTGCAATGAGATCCACTTCTGGATTCCACATATGAGTGAGCTCATGCAGGGTTTCCTTCTCTGTGTCTGGCTTATTTCACTTAACAATGACTTCCACTCCATCCTTGTCATAAATGAAAGGATTCCATCCTTTTTGTAGCTGATTTGTATCCTATTGTGTGTATGTTCCATTCCCTTGATCCATCCATCAGTTGATGGACACTTTGGTTGTTTCCCTATCTTTGCTTTGTGTATAGTGCTGCAGTGAACATGGGGGTGCAGATGTCTTTTTGACAGACTAATGTCATTTCCTTTGGAAAATATCCAGTAGTGGGACTGCTACATTTCATAATAGTTATGTTTTCAGTTTTTGAGGAACCTTTATACTGTTTTCCATAATAGCTGCTCAAGTTTATTTTCTCATTAACAGTGTACAAATGTTCCCATTTCTCCACATCTTTACCAATATTTGCATCTTGGTGTTAAGAGCCATTCTAACTGGGAGTGGGGTTTTTGTTTTTGTTTTAAATCTGGTTTTGATTTGAATTCCCCTGGTGATTAATGGTGTTGAGCATTTGTTCATATACCTGGTATCCATTTGTCTTCTGTGAGGAATACCTATTGAGGTCTATTGCCATCAGATTATTTATTTTTAATACAAAGCTGTTTGACTTCCTTGTATATTCTGTATATTAATCACTTGTCAGTTGCACTGTTTGAATTATTTTTTCCCATTCTGTCAGTTGTCTCTTCACTCCCTCAATTGTTGCTTTTGCCGTGCAAAAGCTTTTTAGTTTGTTAAAATCTCATTTGTCAGTTTGGGCCTTTTTTTCCTGTGATTTTTTAAAGGATTATCGAAAAAAAAAAAAACCTTTGCCCATTCCAGTGTCCTAAAATGTTTCCTCTATGTTTTCTTCTTGTAGCTTCATAGCTTTATCTAATAGTTTTGTATCTTACATTTATATCATTAATACATTTTGAGTTTTTTAAAAAAAAAATTGATAAGAAACATGGGTCTAGTTTCATTATTCTGCATGTGGATATCCAATTTTCCCAGTACTATTTATTGGAAAATAAAACTTTCCCTTTCTTCAATGTGTTCTCAGCACCTTTGTTGAAGATGAGTTAACTGTAGGTGTGTGATTTAGTTCTAAGCTCTCATTCTATTCCTTCTCTCTCTCTCTCTCTCTCTCTCTCTCTCTCTCTCTCATGCCAGTACCATGTTATAACAATTACTATTGCTTTATAATGTATTTTTAAAGTCAAACAGTGCAATGACTCCTACTTTCTTTTTGCTCAAGATTGCTTTATCAATTTGGGGTATTTTGTAGTTCCATATGAATTTTAGGATTTTTTTTTCATGAAGAAAGCCATTGGCATTCCAATAGGAATTGCACTGAATCCATAGATGGCTTTGGTACTATGGAATTTTAACAATATTGGTTTCCCCAATCCACGAACACAGGATGCCTTACCATTTCTTTATGTCTTCTTTAATTTCTGTTATCAATGTTTTATAGTTTTCCTTGTGTAGATTTTTCACTTCTTTGGTCAAATTTATTCCTGGCATTTCATTTTTAAGTATGTAAGAGTGAGAGAAATACTTACATATGTTCTGAAACATTTTCAGTTCTTTATGTTTTATGTGAACCTAATTTTCAGGGAGATAATCAATATACAACAAATCAAAACTCTTGTAAAAATATATGGAACTAGTAATTAGGTTGATAGTAGTTTTTCACCCAAAATGTCTTAGTCCATCCTACTGACCTCTTCAAAGACTTTAAATAGTCCTAGAATGTGGCCTTCCAGCATCACATTGTACTGCATCTGAGTATTAGTATGTCTATGTGGCAGGGCCAGAATATACCCTAGACATTTGCTTATTTCCAGAGTTTTAGGATCATCTACAAATTCAAGGATTTCAAACTCATCTCATTTTGGAGGGAAAAGTAGCATGAAATATGTTTCAAAATTAGGTTCATTGTTTTTGCTCATTCATACAGCTACCTCTCCTTTCATGTTTTATTTTTACGGGGGGGGAGAATTATTGGGGATTGAACCCAGAGGCACTTAATCACTGACCCATATTCCAAACCCTTTTTAAAAATATTTTTAAAATTTGAGGTAGGGCCTCATTAAGTTGCTAAGGCTGACCTCAAATTTGCAATCCTCTTGTTTCAGCCTCCTGAGTCGCTATATTTTTACTATATCTGAGGGTAAAAGAAATCCAAAACCTAAGACTTCAGAGAAACTAGAAAATTATTCTTTCAAAATCAGACCATCAGGGCTGGGGTTGTGGCTCAGAGGTAGAGCCTTTGCCTAGCATGTGTGTGGCACTGGGTTTGATCCTCAGCAACACATTAAAAAAATGAAATAAAGGTATTGTGTCAACCTACAAGTAAAAAATATTTTTAAAAAAATCAGACCATAACAGATGGGCTGGGGTTGTGGCTCAGTGATGGAGCACTTACTGAGGCACTGGGTTCTATCCCAGCACCACATAAAAATAAACAAAATAAAGATATTTTGTCCATCTACAACTGAAAAAATATTTTTTAAAAAATAAGACCATAATAGATATTTCTTATAAGAAATCAAAGGACGTTATCAGTGTTCTGATCTGCTAAACATGGATGATTGATGGATGGATATAGCCAGTGTGCCATCTGTAGTTACTTAAGAAGAAGTTATATATTTGAGAAATCTTACTATCTAGACTCCAGCTGATCTGGATTCAATCATTGTCCTCTTACCTACCAATCATAAGATGTTGGCAAGTTGCTAATATATAAAATAAGGATAATTATATCAGCTACCTGAAAGGGTTGTTTGAAGAATAAAACCAGACAGTGTTCATAAAACTTTTAGAACAGCACCTGGCACATAGAAACTATTTACATGATATTGAACATTATTTTTTAAAACACATAAACTCATGTTATAAGATCTATGTATGAATTTCAACACATTTTTGTAATAACTGATAGCAATATTTGTCTACATTTGTACATCAAGGAATTTTCATGTTGATTTGATTTTCACAACAAAAACTCTGCGGGAGGTGAGGGTAAGTATTGTTGTTGCCAATTTGAAAATGAGAAAATTTTTGGAAATCCACTAAGAGAACTGATGACCCTACCTCCAATTACTCAAGTCTCACCATTTGTTCAAAAGCTTGTACTTTACTTCTAGGTTAAGGGTTCATTCTTACCTACCAGTTATTTTTTACTATATTTCATAAACATACCAGGCTTTCAAAGTATTATTAGCCTGCCACATGTTATTTTCATTATACAAGATTTATCTCTTATATTGCCTTAAGTAAATTAAGCATTGCCTACTGCATCTGTGATCACATTACGCTGTTTAGTGACCTAGCATTAGAGCCAGTAGCTTTAAACTGGATAATCACAACTTTTGATTGGTGCCCTACTGACAGATGCATTTCTCAGAAGTGTTTTCTCCTACTTGAAGAAGCCCTGATGCTGTTGAACCTCTGCCATCTCCCAAGAAGTGGTACCCTAAGAAGGAAATCATACAGCCTCTCTTCTTGCTACTAACCTAGGGTGGGATCACTGCCACCAAATGGGATGGCAACCAGGCAGAAGGGATGGGTTTAGAACTGGTCTGGTGTTCTCAGGGTCACTGCAACTCTTGCTTTGATTTTAAGAAATAGTATTGATAATAGCTTCCTCCAGGCATCATCTGAACAAGTGACATTCATCATAGATTGGCTTATGTTCATCAGGAACAGCTTCATTAGGAGTGTAATTGGAGATATAAGTATGTACTTCTGCAAAACATAATGAAATTTTTTAGTTGATAGCTAAACCTTGAGTCTTTTTTTTAAGTTATATTTTATTCCCCTCCCATGCTCTGATTTCCAAATTAACTTTAAAATGAGCTTTGGAAATTTTTCTTAGAGTCTTAAAACAATCCTGACCTAACATGACTGTTATTTTCTTCACTTTAACCTTCTACAAAAGTATTGGCTGTGAACCGAAAGTGAGATTTTGAAAAGGTCTCTCTGCAATACTGCATTTTTTACTAGGGTTTCTATACTGCTGTATTCAATGAGGAATCTCAAGTTCTTTTCTTGGTCACCCCTAGAGCTCCCAAAGGCAGAAACAAGATATACTAATGAAATCATGTATGTCATTTTATTTTTGTCAGATATCTATCCTAGTAAATATTTAACCAAAAAATATCCAAAAATAATACTTGCAAATAACAATAGGCTCAGTGTACATAGGGCATACCATTCCCAACAAGTTTTTATATTTACATACTTGTCACTGAGTTAAAATGACCATAACTCTCAAGTCTATTATTTATTTATACTACATTTTTCTTCTTCAAGTCAGCCTTTGCTTCTATTTCCATTTCCTAATTAGTTAAGGGGCAATTTTTATTAATATATTATTATTATGGCCTTTAAGACCATGTTTATTATAAAAGTATTTTTTAAAACGGTGTATCAAATTTTTGTAATCCACTGTTCTATTGTTTGTCATTTCTTGTATAATTTAATTTATTCTATTTAATTTATTAAAATTAAATGAAGCTTGAAAATTCATGTGGGCTCTTCCAACATTTTAAATCTTTTTTCAATGAAAAAATTAACTGGGAGAATAATGAAAATATCTGTATCATAGAAGTACGTATGTTTTATAGTAATTTGGTTAAAAGATTATGACATTGCCTAAAATGACATTGATCATCACCTAAAATGATTATGACATTGTTAAAAGATTATGACTGCTCAAGAGAAAAATGGGGAAAGATCTGAAAAACGATTCAGCAAGAACAGTATTAGCAATGGTACTTAAGTGTATGAAGAATTGTTAAATTCTTTTGTAATTAGAGGGACACAAAGTGAAGCAAAACAGAAACCAGAGAAGTCCCCATTATTTTAAAGAACTGTCTAAAAGCTAAATATTATTTTCCCCCATCAAAACAGCAGACATTTTTAAAAGTGATTATTTCTATTACCTAAAATGCACAATAAAGTTCCTAACAGAATAGAAAGTGACATAGATTATATATATACACACTGTTCTTATAGTCTAAGAGACAGACATAAAACATTCACATATGTAGTCACTCCTGTGAAATAAAGATAGTAGTTATCTGGAGGGTGGGGAAATCCTCACTATAAAAGTATATTTTAGACCTGGAGCAGGGAGATGGTACTTTTGGGAAGGTATATAAGGGTTTTAAATTTTATTATAATAAGTGCACTGGGAAGCTAAAAATGGGTTTTAAGCAGAGAAATGGTGTGATCCTGTTTATATTTTTAAATGATTCATAAAATGATGACCAGCTGCTGTATGGAAAAATAATGGGAGTAAACATTTTTCGTGGAGAGCTTTTGCAATGTGTAAGTCTCTACAATGCCCTTTAATCCAGTAATTTTTAGAAGTTTATCATAAGGAAATAATTATTATTAAACATAAAGAGTTAAAGATATTTATAGCAGTATCATTGAAAGTTGCAAATCTTTGGAAAAAGCAGTCTTGCTAGGAAAATGATTAAATAAATAACAATATATCCCTACAGCAGAATATTTTGCTGTTATTAAAAGTAAAATAAAAGCAAATTATTATAAGATTATGATGATAAATGTGTTAATGTTTATATCTAAAAGAAATTATTAGAAACAAATAAGCCAAAACACTCATAATAGTTATGTTTAAATTATAAAAGGAATTTTGTTTTGTTTTACATTATAAATTTATAATTCAATAAATTGCATTTATTCTCTTATACATGTAATTGTTTTATAAAACAATAAACATTGTCATTGTACATTTTAATTTTTTTAGACTTCATATTTTATTCATCAGTGTTAAATGTTTAAATATGTGAATCTATAAAATTTTTTCTCACCCTTTAAAACTATTACGTTTTCTTTGTCATCGTTTTTGTTCAAGTGCTAAGGAGTTTGCACGTGTTCCTAACAAATTATCTGTTTCTGCTTTATTTCTTTATCCTTTTATAGGCATTTGCCTGGTGGCCTGATTTATTGGCTGAGCATGCAGAGAAATTTTGGGCTTTATTCACAGTGGATATGGATACGGCACTGGAGGCTCAACCACAAGATTCCTGGGATAGTTTTCCTCTTTTTCAACTGCTTAATAATTTCCTCAGAAATGACAGTGAGCACTTGATTTTCTTTTGTATGTGAAGTGGGAAGGGTTGGGGAGTATCATGAATGTGTATGTGTATTTACAGAGCCCTTACACGGGCCCAGGAAGAGTTGAGATGGGTAGCATTAATGTAGGCTCAGACTCTTTGGTTATATCATGGTCTGGGGGAGACAGGGATTCTGCCACATTGTTCCTGAGCTCTTAGGTTCCTCCTATTCCCACCCTCCAGCATTCATTAAGGACTTAACTAGGCGCCCTTTGCATTGCAGTATGTGAACTAGAAATCTACAATAATGTTGGCACTTCTAGAGTTCTTGAACATACTTATATCTCTTGCAGACACCTTTGAAATTTGTCAACATCCTAAAAATTATTCTGTTGAGGCATATACAAACATGCACTATGGTATTGCTTCTGGCTGGCAGTGAATTTATCTCCTCAGACTCCTCAGATGATAATAAAATTCTCCTATGTGATGCAACTTGCTCATTTAAAATAAAGAAAATTTAAAGGTTCTCTATTCAGACCTTTATCCCAAAGCAATAAATACTTTTACAGATACTCTGACAGGTAGTCTAGCAGCCAGTACATTATAGACCAAGTTGAATTCCATCTACTCCTAACCTCTGGTTCTAGCTTATTCTCCTTGATCAATACAGTGGTCTTCTGTTGTGGATTTTCTTCTCTAGTCCACATGTCCCATACCTTGTAAATCATCCTCACTTATCAGGTTTTCTTATCCATTCCAATTCTTGTTGGCTACCATTCTTATCACCATTGGGATAGTCCTCACTCCCTTTATCTGTGTAGCTCTAGAACTTGGCACTATGAAGAGCACAGTGCTCACCAGGTCACCTGAACCACCCATACCCCATTGAAAGGGCTAGTTCTTCTTCCCATCTTTTTTTTTAACCTAAGTCTTTTCTTGGTCTCCTAGGATCACACCATTTATACTTTTACATTCTTATATGTGCTAAAAATCCAAATTTTTTCTTATTTTCTTCCCAAAAGGTCACTACTATATTTTAAACCTAAATCTATATTTTTACAGTTGTCTTTTAAATAAATAAATAAATAAACACACACACATATATGTAACTATATTGGTTTTGTTCACTCTCATACAGTGTTTCTTACCTTTCTTTGGTTGCTTGTCCCTTTGAGAGGTGAAATTGTGGACAATGGTGTACTCCCCATGGACATCCCAGGACTTTGACCAGGTTAAGAACCTTCATCTTGGTAGGAGAGGCATCATGTTATAGTAATTAATAACATGGGCTTTGGCGCCAAACAGATTGACATTTCTTTGCCACTTACTACTTGACCTTTGACAATAGTTTAACCTCTGTAAGCTTTAGGCTCTTCATTTGTAAAAGAAGGAAAGTGACAGCATCTACAGGGTCATTGGTGGTGAGGATTAAATAAAACGATAATTCATACATAATAGATGCTAAATAAACATTGTAGATATCATGAGTTTTTGGTCTAAATTTTATCTTGAGACTTTTAGTCATCTTACACAGAGTTATTAAAACAGGAGAATTTTTTAAGGTTCACAGTTAAGTAGTTAGTAAAGATGATTGATCATTTAACTTACTCAAAATATTAGAATTTGTTTTATAGAGAAAGCAAAACTTTTTGTAGATTTCTTAGAAATTTTCTTGGGGATTCACTACTAGAGCTCCAATGTATTAACTTTTTGTGTATTTTTAAGAAGAATTCTTGAATTATAAGTGCAAATTTTAGGAGATAGCAACACTGAACCACAAAATTTTAATTTTCTGCTAGTTTTAAAAATAGTTCATTTACAAGAGCTTCTTTTTAAAAAAAAATATTTCAAGTTGCAGATGGACACATACCTTTATTTTGTTTATTAAGGTTTTTTTTGGTTTGTTTGTTTTTTTATGTGGTGCTGGTGATGGAGCCCAGAGCCTTATGCATACTAGGCAAGTGCTCTACCACTGAGCCACAACCCCAGCCCTCATAAGAGCTTCTTTTTCTGCTCCTGTTTTAAACATTTCCACATCATTAACTACTGAATGCATAAAGTATCATTCTGTGCTATTATGTTGTATAATTCTCATTCAGAATAAGACACACTTATTACTGCTCTCTTTTGAGACCTGTCCATTTGGAAGGAGAAGGCTAGATCTTGGCTTTGATTTTGTAGTGATTAACAGATTTTTAAAAACATCAATTATTTCTGAAGAAAACAGCTCCTCCGTGTAGTGAGATAAATAGAAATGTTCCCCAGTGCCATAATTTCCTTTTGGTACTGGGAACACAGTGTGATCTGGGGAATTGAAATAGGATGTAGTAACTTTTATCCCAAACTCACAAGTTCCTTTCCAAAACCAAGACCACTAAGCACTATCTCAGTAGTTGGTAAACATAATTTTTCTAGCTGTTACTATCACCCTTGATGAAATGAAGAATATTGTTAATAACTATATGTTTTATTACATTCCTTAATAGTCAGATGGAGATTGAGTTCAAATGTTCAGTGTCAACCTCGGCTATCTCCAAATCATCTTTTTAGAAATCTATGGGAAAACACTGAGTGTCTATTTTTTTTTCTTAGCCACACACCCCCTCCCCCACCATGTGCCTTGAGAAAATATCTTTGTATGAAAGCCAGGGTATCACAATTTTTGCCATATTGACCTAATTAAAGTTATAGTCCAAATCCTGCTTAAATATAGCTTAAACTAGCCAGGGGTACTAGAGAGAGAGATTTGAATGTCCAGTCTTGGAAAGGGAGATAATTTGCTGAATAACAGTGTTTAGTTACATAGATGTAAGCCTGATAGAGAGTCTCAAGCAAGGTATGCTGCTAATTATATATAGATCTTAAATGATTATGACTTATTATTAATAAATAATTAGCAATTAATGTTATTATAGTATTAAATAATTAGTCTTATGTTTGCTTTTCCAAAATTTAAAATTACTAAGACCCCTTAAATTAATGGAGATATTAATTAGAATTTGTGCTTTATTTGTTGCTTGAAAACTTTGTAGCTGAGGATTTTTTAAATGAATAATTCAGATGCTGCCACAGGTTATTTACCATTTTTCTTCTATTAAAATCTTTATGCTTTGATATTTTAAAATAGACGTTTTCTTTTACGGTGTGGAGGAGATCTTAAGCCTCTTCATTTTTCAACTGAGGAAACTTAAGTTTCTAAGTGGCCCTGAGCCTGGGCAGGGGTTCAACAACAGGGAATTGGGGACATAGATTGGAGTCTGATCACTTGGCCTCTAGCTCAGTTTCATCCCACAGTAACAAAAGCAGATTCTAGGGAAATTTATAAAATGATAGAGCATTTCTAAGGAACAGGAAATTCTCTGTGAACTTATATTTTTAACTCAGGAAACATTTATAGGGCATAGAGTTAAAGAGTGCTGAAAGGATCAGATAAAGGTATGCACTCCTCAGCATACATGTTAGGCAACATCTGTGATAAGATTGAATCAATTAGGAGGGAGAGGAACTCAAGCCCTCAAATTTGGTTTACTATTTTAAAAAGGAAAAAAAAAACACATTATATCTGGGGCGTGTGTCTTTCCTTACAGTTAGTGGTGATTAGAGAAAGTCGTAGCTCTAAGAACCCTTGGAGATGAACGATGGTTTTCCTCAAGGGAAGAGTGCCAGCTGCACCACACTTTTAGCAACTGTCCCCAACCTCCCACCCCTCACAGCCTCACTCACTGATTCCCAAAGCAAGACCGATGATGAAAACAAACTCAGGCTCCCTTGTTTCTGGCCAGAACTCACTGAGCTCCAGCTTGCCTTCCACCCTGCTTCCTTTGGTCCTACCCGGCCAGCTAAAGAGATAATTAGATGGGCAATCACTTTAAATGGTAAGGAAACAATTTTGAAAGAGAGGTGTATTAAAATCAAGGAAAAATAAATGTTTTCATAATGAAGCAATTAGCATGATAGTTAAATTATACTAAACGGCTAGAAATCGAGCACAAATAGAGTCTACCCTGGCATGCTATTTTTCCACAATTGTCCTGAGAATAGAAATGGCAAGTGACCGCTTCTGACAAATGAAAGCCATCTGCAAATGGCACAAATGATTTCTTTCAGCACTACTGAAAGGCAAACCCTTGGAGCTAGTCACCTTTTAATCTGTGGATATGCTAGCAAGTGGCAAATGACCATTCTATTGGGAACTGATTCCCAAGTGAAAAATACCACAGTGCTTCTTCTTTAATTAACAGCCTTTTCACATTGCTAGCACATTAAAGCCATCCCGAAGAACACCCGTGCGTATATAATCAATGTCACAGCGTCTCTGCCTAAACGAATAATAAATGTTCAGGCTCTACACTAAGTGAAAACCTGTTCTCCAAGACTTTCACCTTCATAAAGATGGGCTTATAAAAATCTAAAAAGGAAAAAAAATTGGAATGTGGTCTCATGAGGATAAAAAGGCTAGTGTTAATAATTAACAAGGAGAGTGAAGTGGAGTCAAATTAGCCATAATAGAGCCCAGAGTGACTGGCAAAGTCACCTCTCATTATCAAAAAACTCATTAAGAAATGAAGAGGTGGAAATCCCGCTGGGTTATTCTCACACTTAGGCTGTATCAGAGATTATTTTTCAGATTTCTTTCAAATGAAGAACTGTTAGGTCACCGTATTGTATATTAGGTTAATCTTCAAGCTCTGAAATATGGAGGGCTGACACCTACACGTTATCCCACCTCCAGTGCTTAAATGAGCTGTGCATCTGAAACTCACGGATGGGTGTTTATAGATACCTCTGTGTATACATATACTGGGGACAGTGTAGAAAGGCGTAGCTTTCAGATAATGGCAAGACTGCACACCAGCAGAATGTTATAGATAGGAACTTTTACAAATCATGGTATGACCAGCAAAATGTGAAAATGTATTTAACTTTCATCATCAAACATGATTGAATTCAAAATTGTATATCTGAATTTGTTTTACTGATCAGAATAAGACAGAAAAGCCACAAAGCACTAGCCTTTTCT